GCTTGACCCCTATTCCGGGCGATTCTTCCCTCGGGAAGCCCGGACGGAGACCCTTGCATCTCTCATCCGACAAGAGAACTCTATCGAGAATATTGTGAAGAGTAGGACCTGGGGTATTGTCCAGCAGCGATGCGGTGGCAGTAACGACAGCTGGGAGAAGGCCGTGGCAAAGTGGAGGGAATCCAAGTCTTAGGCAGACCGGAAACACTCACTGCTCTTCATCCTATGGCGGCGGTGGGAGCCCGGCCGTGGTCTGAATGAGCCTGTACAACAACAAAAAATCTCTGAATTAGACGGCCTGGGCAATGGCTTGAGATTCTGTATTGATAGGAATGTACTTGTATAATGTTGATAGACGAGATATAATGAACGCTACTTGATATGGTACTAGTGTGTCTTTCGAGCAAGATAATTTTACATTATAGGAAAGTGCTCGTACATTTTTAAAAGTAGAATTACCTAGTGTACACTATTGCCGGGTTGACCTTTAATACTACTTGGTAAATTTACTTTGTCTTCATCTTGGGCTCAGGGGTCGCGCAGGTCGCTCTCTGGACAACTCGACTGCTTGTTGTGGAACAGTATCAGGCGATATTCACAACTTCCTTGATCCTTCACCGATACTTGCCTTACGTAGCAGGCGTTATGCCTGTTGTAGCGTTGTTCAAAAAAGGAATATTCAAGAGTCTCTCAACAACTCTGCCATGCCTGAGGATCGTAGACCAGCAACCCATCCGCTTGGGCATAGATGAGAGCAGGGCCCAGCTCGAGGCATGAGAATCAAATTCCGGTGTCTGCGAGCAGGTGCATGTAATATGTGCGGTTCGCTGGCTGTCAGCTGTGCGTGTCGCTGGACGAGGCTTTGTCCAACGGTGCATTTTACTTTTTCGGGGCAATTACCCCACTAAACCCCTCCTCCAGCCCGCTGAGAATCGCACAACACCCACTCCGAGGATCCGCCGATGTAATGGAGGTTTCCAGGACATTCATGCGAGACCTGCCTTTCCCTCATGCAACCGTCCGGAGCAGAGACAATAGACCCCCTTTCTCGAGGCCCACGATCGCTGCTGGGAGGCTGTCAGTTCTCAACCCACCCACGGACTCGCCTAGCGGACGCTCTTCTGGCTCACGTCCCAAACGTGCCATTCTCCCGCACCGGTCCATATTCAAGAGCTCCAGCGCAAGGAAGCCCACGACTCACGAGAGGCCCGACCAGTCCTCGCCGATACAGCAGATTCTGTTTTCCTGCTAGCGAGATCGACGCACTGAAGGAAGCTGTGGCTTCTGTAGCACGCCCACGATGCCACAACCCCTCAATTCCAAAGAGCAGGCGCTCTTCCGATTAGTTGTCCGCAGCTATGAGGACAAGCAGTACAAGAAGGGTGTCAAGACGGCCGACCAGATCCTCAAGAAGTTCCCCAAGCATGGAGACACCATGGCTATGAAGGCCCTGATCCTGAACGCCCAGGGCAGGACCGAAGAGGCGTTTGGGCTGGGGAAGGAGGCTCTGACCGCAGACATGAAGTCACATGTGTGCTGGCACGTATACGGGTTGCTGTACCGGGCGGCCAAGAACTTCGAGGAGGCTAGTAAGGCGTACAAGTTTGCTCTGAAGCTAGAGCCCGAGTCCGCTCAGATCCAGCGTGATCTTGCTGTCCTTCAGGTCCAGATGCGTGATTACCCGGGCTATATCCAGAGCCGGAGGGCCATGCTGCAGGCCCGGCCTCAGATTCGCCAGAACTGGACCGCTCTCTCTATCGCTTACCATCTTGACGGAAACCTAACAGAGGCTGAGAAGGTTCTGTCCGCTTACGAAGGGACCCTGAAGCAAACGCCCTCCCGCCTCGATCTCGAGCACTCCGAGTCTGTCATGTACAAGAACTCACTGATTGGCGAGCAGGGTGACTATCAGAGAGCTCTAGACCACCTGGAAGATGCTGCAAAGTACAATTTGGATCGTTTGGCAGTCATGGAAAGCCGAGCTGAGTACCTGCAGAAGCTGGGTAGGAACGAGGAGGCTGCCAAAGCCTACAGAGCGCTCCTGGACCGTAACCCGGATCATCAGGCGTACTACGCAAAGCTCACACAGGCTTTGGGTATCAGCGACGATGATGTAAAGGCCCGGAAAGCTATCTATGATGAATATTCCGCCAAGTTCCCTCGCTGCGATGCCGCCCGAAGACTGCCTCTTGATTTCCTCTCCGGTAAGCCGCCCTGGCCTAGCTCCTCCGTCTTGCTGGTTGCTAATAAAATACCTAGGTGATGACTTCGAGGAAGCTGCAGAGTCCTACCTTACTCTGATGTTGAACAAGGGAGTTCCTTCCACGTTCGCTAACCTCAAGCACCTGTATTCCGACGACTTCAAGAAGGAGGTTTTGCCTGAGCTCGCTGAGAACTATTTAGAATCGCAGGGAGCTGACGCTTCAAGCAAGGACAAGGGTGAGGCTGCGGCGTTGTACTTTCTGGCCCAGCACTACAACTACCGGCTGAGCCGCGATCTGGACCAGGCCGACGAATATGTGAACAAGGCAATCGAAAAGGACCCTAAGAGCGTCGACTACAACATGACCAAGGCCAGGATATTGAAGCACCGGGGTGATATCAAGAAGGCAGCAGAAGCAATGGATTATGCTCGAACTCTTGATCTCAGGGATCGCTACATCAACAGCAAAGCCGCCAAGTACCACCTACGGAACAACGACAACGAGAAGGCCTTGAAGACTGTGGGTCTCTTCACGAGAGCCGATACTGTCGGTGGGCCTCTTGTCGACCTTCTGGATATGCAGTGCGTATGGTTCCTTACTGAAGATGGCGAGGCCTACACCCGGCGGGGTAACATCGGCCTTGCGCTCAAGAGGCTACAGGCCGTTGCCAACATCTTCGATGTGTGGCAGGAAGACCAATTCGACTTCCACACCTTCTCCCTACGAAAAGGACAAATCCGCGCCTACGTTGATATGATTCGATGGGAGGACCATATTCGGGACCACCCCTTCTACTCCCGAGCCGCTTTAGCTGCCATCGACATCTACCTTGACCTGGCCGCCAAGCCAGCCGAGAACGGCGTCAATGGCGAAGACACTGATGAGGCATTGGCGAAGAAGAAGGCTGCCAAGAAGGCGAAGAAGGAGCAGCAGCGATTGGAGCGTGAGGCTGCTGAGAAGCAGGCCAAGCAGGACCCCAACAAGGCCAGCAGCAGCCAGACTGACGAGGTGAAGAAGAAGGATGACGACCCCTTGGGCCTGAAACTTGCCGCTACAGAAGACCCTCTTGGCGATGCCGTCAAGCTGTTGGCACCCTTGCTCCAGGTTTGCCCCAAGAGCTTGGAAGCTCAGCACGCCGGTTTCGAGGTGTACCTATTACGAGGTGAGTGGACTTTGATGCAAGAGGGAGTTTTGACCAGACTTTGTACTAACACAACCCATTAGGCAAATATATTTTGGCACTACGCTGCCTGAGGGCCGCCATTGAGATTGACCCCAGCAGCCCCAAGGTTCATGAGCAGACGATTGCATTCCGCCACGCCCTCAACCAGGCCACGGACCTCCCCGCCAAGGTCCTCGAGGTGCTCAAGGAAGAGTTCAAGGCCATCGAGCCCTCAGAAGACCTGAAGAAGGTCAACGACGCCTTCCAGGCCAAGCACAAGTCCAGCCCACCCCACCAGCTCGCCGCACTACGAGCCCAGCACATCCTGGGCGAGGATAAGGCGAGAACCAACAAGGAGGTTCTCGGGCTGCTTGAGCTCCCCGAGATTGAGTTTGCCCACGCCTTGGAGGCCCTAGAGCTGCTACAAAAGTGGAGAAGCTCCGAGATCGAGACCTTCAGAAAGGCCGCCCTTGCAAAGTGGCCCCAGGTTACTCGTCTCGAATAAAATGAGAATATGACGAGACGGACAGACGTGAAACGGTGAGTAAATGAATAGAGCCCGACATTGAACATGGATACTGCCAAGAGTCCATCTGTGCATGAGGAGGAAAAATAACTGTAGGAGGGGGGAGGGGGGAGAGGGAAACAATCTACGGCAGGTTGTGGGTGGAGGGACTCTGCTTCTAGGCACCATGAGAAAGACGAGAGTTGCGGATAGATGGAGTGGAAAAATCATGTTTTGTTTCCGCATTTTGTGTAGGGAGCACGGAGCCATCATTAGAGAAAAAGCCGGCGGAGTTTGGTATATAAAATGTTTTAGGGGGGTTTTGCCTTGCTTCAGGTTTTCTCTCAATGAAGATTTTGCCACCTCAATGCTTGTGTCCAGGTCCCAGTTTGCCTCATGCCTACGCGAATTGTATGATGCTTAAATTATGCTCAATCACCATTAGGGCGTGTTCGAGTCTGAAGAAATAGCAGTGTTGAATTTCCATTCGCTGCCCCTGATTGTTTCCTTTTGCTTGATAAAACTCCGTTTTCTCTACTTCATCTTTGGGCTCCCACGGCAGTTGCATCTCAAGAGGAAAGAGGCATGTCTTTGCTCGTGGCTGTTAGAAAAATAGGCACTGCAAAGTCACCCCGACAGAATTATTGTGGCAGTCACATTATAATGCTTATTATTAAATATTGTCTATCAATGTCGTGGCCTACATTGGAAACTTGGGATTTAAACACCTTTGCAGTCCCTATTATTCTAACACCCACTTGTCTGGTTAAGAACAGTAGTATTACAGGATTCTAGAAAAGAACCAACGCCCAGACCGAAACAGTGACTCACAATTCCGCTAATAAGAATACTGAAATCCCCGTGCTATGGAGGTTGTTCGTGACCTAATGTAGTTCCTGCCGAGTGGACTTGATTGGCAACGCTGGAAGGCGTCCCCCAAGCCTGGTTTTACCACCAACTCAATAGGTACGCCAACTCTTTCCAGCTTCGGATATCTGATTTATTTCTTCGTCCGCCCGTTTCATGTGCACCCAGATATCGTGTAGGATTATTTCTGTTATTTCGTACTTTACATTGACAATCAGTCTCGAATCCCATCTAATCCAGGCTCCACACAAGACACGACGTGATGGCTCAACACATGATGATTCACAACATGAGGCCTGCGAGTGGCTTGGAACAGAGTCTACTCCAGCTACAGTGGAGCCTGAATGAGCTACGGACGTCTTTGGAGCGCGTGCAGATAGCACAACATAACGCGAACTGGACCAGCGAAGCCCGTTTAGGGCAGCTCAACGTTGCCATCAGGGATATCCAGAGACGCATTACCGCGCCCCAGGTCAGATTTACGCCCCAGGTCAAAGTTACGCCCCAGGTCGAAGTTGAGCCCCAGGTCAAGGTTGAGCCCCAGGTCAAAGTTGAGGGTCCGCGGGTTTACTTCCGACAAGTGCAGCATGGCGCTCCAGAGGCCAATCCTGTTGGCCAGCGTGGCCAGCAAAGATCTGGCAGTGCTGCTCAGGCGCTGCTAGCCCCTCCGTCGTTACGCAAAGGGGTCATGTATGCTTGCTTCCGTTCTTGAACAGACACGCTCATATGCACACACACATGGATGGCATATGAGTAGGTAAATATACGCACTAACCTGGGATTAAAGAGTCGAGAACATCAGAGTGAGAGAACTAAACAGACTCAAAATATCTCAAAACCTGGCGGAAGTCATGAACATACCGCTGATCCCTCTCGTCAACATTACCACGGGCGCCCCTATCACCCCTTTCCCGAAAGATTGGAAGGCCATAAAGGCGTTAGATGGTCAGTTGCCCTTGGCATTTGCATGATGTGCAACTATTGGCCCCCGGTATTAAAAGAAAAAGAATCTGACCGTGAGATAGATGCGAGTTTGCGGGCCATTCTTGCCGAACTGGGCCTTGTGTATCCTCAACTGACCACAGATTTGTGCCGTATTATACTCCTCGATGAAGTCTTTTAAACCTATATGGATACAAGATCGTGTGCGGATAAACTGTTTGGGAAATTGTTTTCGTTGGGGAAGAAGAAGCGGTTGATCTATTCGGTCACCTTGGCGACGATGATAGCCACCCGGGACTCATGGGCTACTTCGCTATTAATAATACACTCCCTCTATGGGGTCTTTCTAATTCAGCGTTGTGTGTATGATATTGGGTGGCCCAAAGACAGGCTCTGAATGATGAATTGCTCATGGATATCAATTGGGACACTGCTACAATTGAGAGAACCAAGTGTGTGCCACGAGCAAGTCTGAACCTCCCATCTAGATCTGACATGTTTCTCGGTCAGGGGGAAGTATGGGATAATTCCGGTAGGCGAGCGAATGGGCATCGCGACGCGTCACTTCTTGCTGAGACAGCAAACCAAGAAAGTTGTCGGTGTACACCTGCAGTCCGGAACTCCGTTGCTCTTAACACCGCTCGATACGTTGCTCGCATATCCAGACTCACTTTCATGTACCTACCCCTCACTGCCTGCCTTCCTAGGCCATGTCAGACTTCCCCATCACTTGACGATCTCAGATGGCCTATTGTTGAATTCAATGGCCAACCCCGCAATGTGACGACCTCGCGTGTGCTCCTTGAGGCAAGACAACCTCCTGCCCTTAGGGGAGGGTGTAGCTACCTACCGTAGCTTCAAGGCGAGAAGAGTGTAGTGGTCACAACCTTTCGCTTGTTGATTCCAGCCTCGGTACGTACGTGGTACTGCGTATTCGCTTCAGCAGGAGGTGGCTTCCTTATCGAGTTGGCGATGGGTGGCTGTGGAGTAGAGTCACTCGCGAAGTGGGCACGGGGATGGTGGAAAGCGGAAGGATGGATGGGATGGATGGCCCTTCCCCAAGATCTCAGCTCCCATGCTCATGCCATGTGTGTGCAGGTATGCATCTGTCTGTCTCACAAAATCACCCGGCTATTGGCCCTGCTGAAGAGGTTGGTTCGACCTGTGATTGATAGCAACAGATAGTCGCTTACTGAGGGGATGCTCACAACCACACCGCCTCCAGGTTTCTGAAATACTATGTATCAGTCATTATCTTCATCCCCACCAGCCAGGGCCAATGACGACCATCTTGGCAGTCAGGTTGGGAAAACTCGACTTTGACTACCTACAAAATGAAGGAAATACGCGTGGAGTATTTTTTTTATATGTTGAGAAGAGCCACCGCTACGGACCTGACCCCGCTGTATTTAGTCAAGACAACTTGTGATCCCTACGAACCTGACTAGATCCCTGCTGGCAAGACGTGCACATGTGCTCCCTATTCTGAGGAACCACATAGATAGAACCACATGATGCCAACGCTTTGACTGAAAGAATTGGCGCAATCATCTCATTAATGATTTCTTTTGAATGCGAGCCTTCTTAGGATTGATGGCCACTGAAAAGAAGTCTTGCACACTAAGTACCTGCCTAACATCACGGAAGAACGTAAGAGTCGTCTCTTCTGGGGAATTCAGGCAGATAAATAATACTAAACGCGACAAGAATAGGATAGTAAACTATTCTACGATCTTGAGCTTGGTTTCATGTTTCTTACTGTGTCGAAATTCAACGCCTTGGTGTGCCACGTTCCATCACCAACCCACTTGCTATTGAGGTTAGTGATGGCAAAGAACATCCATGTAAGCAGACAGCGGAGTCCGCGGTGTGGGACCAGCAAACGGTAGATTGATCCGTTCGACGAGTGATTGGCCGGGCCCTGGTCGTCTCTGGGCGTCTTTTATCCTGTTTGGGCGTCTTTTGACGCTTCCCCTGCGGCATCTTCCTGGCAGACGGGCTGAATTAAAGATCCGAACAGCACGCATACGTAGCATGCTCGTACACTCGTGCTCGTGTGCGGAATTGGCAATTTGCAGCCGCTTATTCCAGACCTGGCAGCGCCGGACGCTTGGCACGACCGGAATACCCTGATTGCGGCTGTGACTGAGGGGATTACTCGTCATCGTCACCCGGTTGCCGTCCCCGGCGCTAGAGTGATGCCTGGCGAGATGCCATCACTGTAGGTGATGATGTGTGCGACATGGATGGATGGAACTATGCAGTCTGGAGGTGTGAGTGACGGAGTCCGCTGCAAAGAGCCACTATTGCTTGGGCTGACTCACGCACGCCAAACCTACCGCCAATTGGCGTGTGCTTGCTTTTTGCCCTGTTTCAAATAGTGCTGATATGCTAGTTGGATGGAGTCGGTATGCAGGCCAGCCCAGCAAGGTTTCTGAGTCCGTTCCTGTGGTTCCGACTTCTCTTTTGCGAGGGAGCTCAGTCTTAGTCCGCACAGTCTAACGCATAACATTATCTCCCTTGCTATTGTCCTCCTAGGAGCTCTCTGATTCTCTCATTTCTCCCTCTCTCGTTCTATCCGGCCTTGCCGTCCCAACCGGCACCTCATTCTTTTCTTCCGTAGCTCTTACCCCCCTTCCTTCGTATCCTGTACCTCGTCCTGAATCGCCGTCACACTGTGCCACCGCAGTTTGCTACGTTCCTGGATCTCTGCGCTCTCGTTTGGGACCGAGCCCCCTTGTTGATAACACCCAACCGCGGCTCGTGATACGTAATTATACCTCCTCTACTGCCCTTTTCGGGCCCCTGCTGCCCCCCCTCCTCCCGCCTCGATTTGGAACTATCTCCATCCCTCGCCCCCAACGACATTTATTTGTCCACCTCTCGCCCTTCGCCCCAAGCCATCTTGCCTTGCAAACTTCCCCTACCCAGACTCCCGACCATCTGCAGGACAACTCGGGCTGGCCATGGATGGAACGGGCATGCGACTTCTTCTCCAAGGGAGGAGGTCATTGACAATCGGCCAGAACAACCTCGTCTTCTACGGTACGACCCCGAGAATCAATATTTGCCCCTCAATGCGACACAGTGAGAGCACACCGATCGCCTCGTCGGGATTGATGGGGAAACCGCTCACGATTGAACCATTGAGAGGAGAGTTGCATGCTGACTATTTTTCGCCCTGTAGACCCCACGCAGAAAGATGCTGCACGAAGTTCCTGCTGCATGCCCGGCTCTGTTGGTACGTGGGATTTCTTCCTTCCGAACATCGGCTTTTCAGCTCGCCCGATTGCGCTAACCTTTGTCTCTAGAACGAGCAGAACAGGCCATCCCGCTGTACAACGTCTTGTGGGCTGAAATCTCCAACGACACCATCACCGTCGACTACGTCCTCGTCCCTCCCAAGGGTCCCTTGAGACTCCAGAAGCTGTCTTACGCCCTCGCCCCGCCCGACACCAATCCCAACGAACCCGACGCCGAGAAGTTTGTCGCGACCGTCCTGGAACGAGCCTATGGCGAAGTGAGGCACCACCGACGAGCCTATGTACTCATCAACCCGAACTCGGGCCCTGGCGGTGCTGTGAAAAAGTGGGAGATCGAGGCGAAGCCGCTGCTCCAGGCTGCGCATTTCGACCTGGATGTCGTGACGCTAACGCGAGGCGGGGAGGCTACGGACCTCGTCGAGAACATGGATATCGACCGGTATGATACCGTCATGGCCTGCTCGGGAGACGGGACGCCCCACGAGATCATCAACGGGCTAGCCAAGAGACCCGATGCGGGAGTGGCATTGAGCAAGGTTGCGGTGAGCCACATCCCATGTGGCTCGGGTAATGCCATGGCACTCAACCTCTACGGGTCGAACCGTGTTGGGGTTGTTGCTTTGGCGATTATCAAGGGAGTGACGATGCCGATGGACTTGGTGTCTGTTACCCAGGGACCGCGGCGGACGCTCTCCTTCCTGTCGCAATCGCTTGGTATGGTGGCCGAGACGGACCTGGGCACGGAGCACATGCGGTGGATGGGCAGCACGAGATTCGAGGTTGGAGTTCTTCAACGCATCTTCCAGAAGACATCCTACCCGTGCGATCTCGCTGTCAAAGTCGAAGTTGAAGGGAAGGACGCCATAAAGTCGTACTACAAGAGGAAGATGAAGGACATCTCGGATACCTCCTCGGAACTGACCCGAACTACCGAGGTGGGAGACATCGGCCTGCCCGAGTTGAAGTATGGAACAGTTGAGGACAAGCTCCCTGAAGACTGGGAGCTGGTTAGCCATGACAACATCTCCAATGTCTATTGTGGTAACGTAAGTTTTGTCTAATCCTCCTAACATCATATCCACCGTTCTTTAGCCAGACTAACATTACTTCTAGATGCAATTCATGTCCCCCGGCGCCAACTTTTTCCCTGCCGCACTTCCTTCAGACGGCTGCATGGATCTGATCACAATCCCCAGCGACATCTCGTGGTACACAGGAATCCAGACTTTCCTCTCAGTGGAGTCTGGCGGTTTCTTCGACTCGCCTCATGTGAACTACCGCAAGATCTCGGGGTTCCGCGTCATCCCCCGCGACCAAGAAGACGGATACATCAGCATTGACGGCGAGAAGGTGCCGTTCGAGCCCTTCCAGGCCGAGATCCACCAGGGGCTGGGGAGAGTGATTGCCAAGAGGCCGGGAGGGTACGAAGCACCTGGGCCTCGGGGCTGGGAGACTGTCGACGACAAATGAGGGAGAGAATCGATGGGTCTTTTGTGCACCCCCGGATCCGGCCCTGACGCTCGCTGCATCAAAACAATTATCTCCCAGGCCGAAGATACCATGCCACGGCTGCCAGAAGAAAGAGGAGGAATTGAGCGGAACTAGGTACTAGAGTCCTAGATGGAAACGAAAATGATACCCCCTCGCAAGGACGAGGACTAGATTGTGGCAAAGAGGGAAACGCATGTTCTATTAAGAGGCAATTATTGTTGCAATATCTGGTGTTAAGGATCATGGATTTAACTAGACTACGGAAATTTTACATCAATGGAAAATCCCTCTAAAATTGAATGATTCTGATTTCTAAACTTACTTGCTGTACTTACAGTAGTAGAGACTGGTTGTGTTTCGTTGCCCCTGTAATGAAGTCAGGAAGGGGCGGGGCAGATCGTTACCCCGCCAAAGACAGTTTCCGATTAATATCAAGCCATGTCAGAGCACTTCTAGTCTCAGCCGGTTCAGAGCCATTGGTACGATCCAAGATTACCTACACTGTTACATACCACCATTTCCCCCGACACCAACATCACCCTTGCACCACAGACACACACAATGCCACCCAAGGGGAGAAGAGGACCGTCTGGTCCCTGGGGTAGACTCAAGCCCGTGGTCCAAGACCCCCTCGAGAGCATAGGGCTGCCCTCGAAAGGCGACAACCGGCTACTAGAGTTCAGCACACAGGAGAAATACTACACCAAAATCATGGAACGGTACATGGGCTTCTGCTCAGATGCGGGGAAGCCGGACGAGCTGCTACGAAGGTTCTCCGCCCTCGAGATAGGCGAGAGTGCTGGTCCGTCTGCCTCGCCTACCTCATCAGCTTCCGCTTCTTCATCGGGGGCGCCACCATCGCCTTCACTGAGCTTGCTGCAGAGCCCGGCGAACACGAAGGGCCTTTCAGATGTCATGATGGCGCTGAGGAAGCTGAGGGAGGGCATCGTGGCGTCGAAACGTGTCGACGACTTCGCTGTGCAGGCTTACCTATTCTGCGTCCGTCTCTCCGTCCTTGTGAAGCATCCCGAGTCCTATCACCCAGCCATCCTGTATCTGCTTCGTGCCCTACATCCGCAGCAGCCTCTCACCTCCGTCGAGCTGCAGGAGGTAGTGGCGTATCTGGTTCTGGACGCCGCCTGCCGGAGGGGGCAGATGTCGGAGGCGTACTCGATCCGGCGGGAGTACAGGCTGCAGGACGCCAAGGTTGATGCGGTGCTGGATGCGCTGGCGCATGACAACTACGTGCGGTTCCGGAGGCTGAAGCAGAGCGTGGACGGGCACAGGGCGCGGATCATGGACTGGGCGGAGAGGGAGATGCGGATGCAGACCCTCAAGGCGCTGGGGCGGGCGTATCTCTCGATAGACCTCGGGTTCCTGGAGAGCGTCACGGGTTCGAGGTGGGATGATTTGAAGAATAATGACGGGGTGGGCTGGGAGCTGGACGGAAACAAGGTGGTCATCAAGAAGGTCAGGGCCAGGTAATTCGAAGGCTGCGCCTGGTGCTGGAATATCGGGAATTTCTGCGTTGCAGCCTTGTCTGTCTGATGAGAGGCGCTTACGGTTGGCGTTGTTATCTAACCATCTGTTTGCGACGGTAGTACTCACACTGTCCTGGCAACGAAGCTGGCTTCCTTCTGTGTTTACCTGATCCACGGCGACCCAGAGCGCATGCAGTGCAGGTTAGGCTCTAAACCTCGCAACCAGCGCCTCGTCAGTAGGAACAGTGCGGAGTTTCTGGGCGGTGAAAAGTTGCTCCAGTTACCAGAGGTACACGGTCACTCCTTCTACACCTGCCCCGAAATCAACAACGGACTCGATAATGAGTCGCGATTCCTCCACTTCCCCTCATCTTCAAGACACAAAACACAAGAACCGTTCCCCTTCAAGCAAATCCCCTCCTTCACTCCTCCGAACCTACACATCACAGAGGCTTTGTTTGTCTCGTCCGGCGCGCAAGACGAATGCGGTCAATTCACGTTAGGGAATGAACGAACGACCCAAGAAGCCGTCAATCTCTTCTGGCTCTTTATTTACGTCATAGAGAAGCCAATTCGACGACCCCTCTGGCTCTTGGACCTAAGATGGCGCCCCCAAAGAAGCGGGCAAGGACGTTACAGAGTGACGGTAAACCGATCCCGTCTGCATTGCTATGCGATAGCCGTGCCGGTTGGTTAGTGAAGTGAGTCCACCTTTGCAAGTCCACCTTTGCGTGCGTGCTCGTTCGTCGCGGATAGACACTGCAAAGTTTCACGTGCTGACCAAACTGCTTCTCTCCCGCCGTGTAGGAGCGACGAGCAAACAGTTGAAATCATAGTCAAGGGAGAGGTTCTGATAGCCCATCGCAGAGTCCTCATAGAACACTGTGAATACTTTGCCCGATGCCTCAAGGAACCCTGGGTCGAGGGCCACAACGGAACCATCACATTCGACGACATCGAGCCACGATACCTGGCCCTCTTCATTGGCGTCGCATACAGCCATAGCTCCATCGTGCCATTAGCACCTCCAGTCAGCAGCCCGAACCCGCAGGCTAAGCGTGCCCGGACGCCGCTGCAGGACTTTGTCGAGGTCTACAAGCTCTGCGACCGCTTCGTGAGCCCCAAGATGGCCGACTACATTGTCAAGTGTATTCACACGTCCATTGGCGACGGCCACCGCGCGCTGTATCGGTGCCCGAGCGACGAGGGGCAGCAGAAGGATTTGATGCGAGAGTTTGCGGATGGGTTCGAGGCACTGGAGATCATGCACCCGGTCCAGAAGGAAATTGGGAAGAAGATGATTCACTACTTTTGCGAGGGCGTCAGCTATAACGTCTGGGACAAGGCCATGGACGATGTGGTCTCAGACAGGCCACGGTTCATTAGCGACGTGTCGAGAGGGTTTGCGTCAAGGCTGGGAGTCATGGAAGCAACGAAGCGTGCGATGAGGCGGAAGGAGCTCTCGGGGCCATAACTGCTGAGCTGAGGCACGCACTTGTCTCATTTCGAAGGTTTGGAAGGTCAGTGGAGGATAACAAGGAAATCCGACGAAGGAAGAGAGAAAGAAGAGCACCGAGCCAGAAACCATGTGGTGATGATGTATTGAGAATATTGGCGCTATGGGGTTAGGAGTATCTGGGTTGAGTTTACGATCGGGTTGGTGTTAATTTTTGAGCAAGAACCTCCAGTCAACGCGGGAATGGATTGCGACATTGCGTAATGAAATGAGAAGAACGAGGATCACGATATAAAAAGCGTATTTCTTTTTGATCGAATTGAGAACAAGATTGCTTATCATGGGAGCTAATCCTTGGATGGCGACGTTTGAGATATATTAATGGGGCATAAATAACACTGCCATCATATTCTCTGGTGATTGGAACCACAAAACAATTAATTCAAGGGCTATAATAGTAGCCTTACACTGCCTTGTGGGTTACAGAGATTGGGGATTTGCCGTTCAGTTAACTGCTGCTCCTTGCCTAACACAGCTTGCCCGATGATGGCCCTGTTTTGGGCGAGCAGGGGGACGGCATTACAGAGCACCTTAGTTCCAGAAGCCGAAGGCCCAACCCCGGGGAGGATCTAGCCTTGTGAAGAGGCCAATCCGGCAGGGAGAGTATTGATATTAGGTAAAGGAATAGATAGCCAAGGCCCTTTGGTCTGCAAATCTGGGGACTCTCCCTGCGTTGGCCCCAAAACCTTATCATTTGGCCATCTGGCTGGTTGTCCGTTTAAGCCCCCGAGGCCCCCGGAATTTATGGGGATGGCGACACGCCAGGCGGTGCTAAAATGGATTAAGCAGGTGGCCGAGCGCCAAATTTATGGGGAGGCAGAGCCTGAACACTGGGGAATACGGCTGCTACAAGGGGCTGAGCTTAGGGATCTGCCCTGTAAGTGCCTACCTAAGCACAAACCTAATGTACTTGTGTGTCCTCCCTCTGCGCGCGCGCAACGACATCGAGAAGTTAAGCTTACCTTGGCCATCGCCGCCAAGCTGGCACTAATGACCGGTCCGGGTCCTCGTTGCGGAAGGTATCTGGAAGCTGACCAGAAGACGAATCCTGCTGATGATAAGGGTTTCAGGCAGGCAGGCAAATACATAGGTTCAATCTTAGTTTATGCGGCATGCTTATCTTGTCTGACAGAGGTGGTGTTCTGGTAACGGCCGAGCGAGGCGCAGGGCCCCTTCACACCCAGTTCCAACCTTGGCCCTTGGCGCCTATAACGGATTGGGTCGAGGGAGAACCAAAAATCCCTTTCGACGTGGGTTGCATTGCCTCATTTCCGGAGAAGCAAAAGTGCTGGGACCCATCCAACCCCATGTGTTTATTGACCTGTAAGCCAATGCCGTCTGCGTGTTGCTCTGCCAAGCTGATCGGGGTGTGGCTCCATTGTCGCTCGATATCTAGAAGTCTTCCATCACCTGCCCTGGTGGAATGCTCACCACATCACACTATACAGCAGTGCGATGCTACCCGTTGGCTGGCACGCTCGAGAGAAACGGCCAATAGCTTCGGGCCCTTCTCTAGACCGGGACGCACCATCCTGCAGGGAATCTGCAGGCGGGCTCAATGTGCAGGGAGTGTGTGGCCTGCCAGAGCAGCTGCTGCGGCGTCGTCGGGGAAAGGATTGATACACATTCGGCTGCCACATGCCCAGGCAAAGTTTCGCCCCTCCCCTCTCTAGGTTCTTCCGCCAAGTCACTCCAGAAGGATGTTGGAAGATTGGCAATCTAGGGCCTTGGCGCCTCCCCATCCGTAGTTCTTTGTCCTGCCTGATTGTAGGACATGGCTGTGCCACACACGACTTGTACGGGGTAGTCAAGCTGCATTGCCTCCAATTAGAGTTGGTAGATAATGCTGGATACCAGAAGCCGCACCCTTGACGTTAATAAATCGCCCCCCCGGGAGGCCTGATAGGTAGAACTGGACCGATTGGGGGAATGAAACGCCCACCCAGCCGGGGGTCCCAAAGGAGAGGGATGGGATGGGGATGTCTTTATCGGGCATTGGTGAGCTGGGCGGCGAACCGAGCTGGCAAACAAAAGGATCAGCCCTCCCATCGCTTCCATGCGCGTTGCTTAGCTCTTCCCATTCCCCTTTTCCTCTCCTCTTCCCACCTGTTCGTCGTTGAGTAGTAATTGCCCGGTCTGTTGCTGTTGAGATACCCTTCCCCCAGACCTAGAAACCAAACAAGCAAACCAGCAACAATGCATTCCAAGTTCGCCCTCCCCGCCGCCGCCGCCCTCCTCCAGGCGGCCTCGGCCCAGATCCTCTACGGCGCCGACGTCAGCGAGCTCTCATCCGACACCTGGTCGTCCGTCATCGAGTCCGCCAACTACACCGACTCGCAGGCCGTCGCGGGCCGCGACGTCTCGGCCGCGTACCCGGCCAGCGAGCAGGACGGCTGGAGCCTCAACTTCGCCATCAAGGACGGCGTCGCCGGCTCGGGCGAGACCAAGACCCCCGCGGGCGCCATCTCCCTTACGGGCCCCAGCGGCGACTTCGACGACAGCTGGCACCTCTGCCTGCACGTCTTCCCCGTCCGCGCCGCCAGCGCCGGCGGCGCCTGGTCGACCGACTTTGACGGCACCTGCTCCGGCTCCGTCGCCGGCGAGTGCCTCGACGACCTGAAGAAGAACGCCCTGTCCAACTTCGACAAGGACTGCAAGACGTGGTCGCTCTCGCCCAGCTGCCAGCGCGATATCCAGGACGACAGGCTCAACTCGGCCGCCGTCTCCATCACCGGTAAGTGATTCAATGGGCAACATTGGCCCCTTTTTTGTGTATAATTCCTGGGAAAAGCTGACCGGTGTGGAACTTTCGTGCCTCTAGCCGACAACCACCAGGACTTCATCGGCAACGAGACCTCCTTCTACCGCGAGGTGTTCGCCGACGAGATCCTCACCGCCGTCCTGGAGCCCCGCGCCGTCGTCAGCGTCTGGGGCCGCAGCGCCGACTCTGGCGAGGATCCCACCATCCAGATCACCTGCCTGCGACCCGACACCGCCGAGTCCGGCAGCACGGATCCCGGCGCGCCTGCTGAGGGCGCCGCCAGCGGCATCACCGCCCTGGCCAGCTGGGCCGTCCTCACCGCCGCCGTCGCCTTCCAATTGCTGTAAAGGAGAGAAAAAAAGGACATCCAGAGTTGGAAAGATGTAAAAGGGGGAGAAGGCACTTTTTTAAAGTTGCTAGGGGAAGAGATTGAATCCTGATTGCTGCACGCTACCTCCTACCTCATGTGGTAGATGTGGAGCAAGCCCAGGCCATAATTTTATGTAAATCCTTTGCGAGGCTGTAGGTCGATTTACGCGGGGCGTGTTTTGGATCTTTTGGGAGATGGCGAAATATTGCTGTTTCTTGTCTATTACCTGTGTACATTTGAGGGAGGTATATCATCGCATACATGGCTCTGGCTACTAACTAGTTCTTACTCGTGCTGCGTTCCAGAATATAACTATTAATTGGCTTCTCTTCGATGTGCGGCTTGCTTTGTGTAACCTGAGAATGACAAGACTGATTGATCGATTGACGTGCTTGAAGGCATTGTATTGTGTGAACCACATTTTGATAAAATAAGTATATATCCAGAACAGTAATGTTTTCCCATTCCCAACCTCCCTTAAAAAAATAAACAAATGAAAATTCACCAGGCCCGAGCTGGCGAAGTCTCGACTCGTTCCACGGAACGCATTCCGAGGAAATGCACAATTCGAACATGTGGTATATAACCAAAACCAGAGGTATCCCCCAACGCCCAGCCCATATGCAATAATAAATCCGATTGGATGGATGCTTCAATGTGTATGTACACCCCATCATCCATATCTCATGGTGTTTTTGTCTTTTTTTTTTTTATCTCGGTTTTTTTTATTGTAGTCGTGAGCGCATCACTTCTTCTCGTAGAACTGGATGGCGTTCTCCAGGTCCTCGATGCTGTCCCGGCTGCCGTAGACCTCCATCAGGTTGTGCTGCCGGCGCCGCTCCTCGTTGTACCGCTCGCTCTCCTGGGCCGCGGCAATCGACTTCCTCTCGCGGGCGTTAACGGCGTAAGTTCGGACGCCGAGTCCTACAGCCACGAGGGCCGCTAGAGGCTTGAACCTGGACAGGGTTAGTGTTGGACAAAATATGGATAAAATTATTCGTAAAAATAATGTAGTGAATGGCTGGAACGTAAAATGTAGGCACTCACCATCTGAAGGGCATCCGGCGACTGTGTGGTAGGTGAGGGAGGTAGCTTGGGTAGACCTTTGCTGCCGTGGAAAATCGTCTTGCGGGAGTGAACATGACTGCTGAGGGTCGCGGAGGAGGAAATGGGCGGCGTGTGGAGTATTTGTTTGGTATTCTCGGTTGCTCGGTATAACTCCTCAAGCGAGATGACAAGCCGACGTAGTGTTGATTGAGGTGGTAGTAGCGGAAAAAGAGCAGCAGCGGTATGCTTGTCTCGGCGGCCTTTGTCGTGAACGAGTTTCGGATGATGCAGATGCGGACGTGAATCTGTCCAGAGCTGGTGCTTTTATTTCGCTGCGATGATGCTAGGTACAAACGGAAATGATCTCTTCTTCTCTCCTCCAAATGGGGGGGGAGGGCGTCATAGTATATACACCACCATAGCTTTATATTAATTACCAGCTAGCTGGCAAGGTCCCCTACGTGAGCGGTCATCCCACCCGCCAGAGCTTCTCTCCGCGTGCCGTGGGGAAAAGCCCAGTGCAGTCCCCTGGCGTGTGGCGACCGGAGCTGCCCGGGTGCTGTCGGCTATTGCACTGGGGCGCTGGTGCTGGCCAACCGCAGGGCGCTGGCGGCACCCCAGAATAGTGGCATGACAATGGCGCCCCGGGGCGTTGCAGGTGATCAACTGGTCCCCCTGGGAGCCAGCTCACTATGACATACGACCGCAAAGGGGGGAGAGAGCCCTTTGGCCCGGCCCAATGCGACCTCTGCAGCTCTCAGGGACCTTGCCCGGCGGGTGATTACCGAGGATTTGAAAAATTCCACCCGTCTCACTGACACCTGCAATGCTGCTCCCCGTACGAGATGTGGCCTGATGGTGCCTGCCTGCGTCCCAGAATCTGGTGATTTCACTGCTGCTGCGGGTACTCCAGAATGCGCCACCCCTGTCTTGAATCCCACATCACTGAGGTGCAGTGGTGGCCGATCTTGCGGGGAACGCCCAGCCAGCGTCCAGTCATGAGTCGCCGCTGCACTTTGGGCCTGGAACGTCCCACTGGTGTGCACTTGGGCACTTTCTCAGTGCGGACGGGCTACCGATGAGACTTGACCTGTGCTGGGTTGCGGGAGGTTGTGGTAAGCCTAGCCGACGTGCTTCCCTCAGCCATCTGCCATCCATCTCACGACGGTACTGCACTCCCACTGCAACACAACCTGCCTCACATCAGTGTGCGAGCTGGGGCTACGTCCTGTAATACATGGAGGTGGCATACGCACTTTCGGCAAGATCTCCCCCCACCCCATCTCAAAAGTGTAAAGATGTGTAATCCCATAACGTCTGGTTGGCTTGGGCTGCCGTCAAATCACTGTCTGAGCCGAGGGTATCCTCCACCCCCTGCCGGTTTTCGTACTCTCCTCCATGTCATCACGCAGCACAAAGGTGTCAAGTAGCCGGAAATCCATCAGTCCACATACTTTGTTTTGCATTTTTGGTAGACAAAAGAAATCCATATCTAGATTAGATGTTAAATGAACGATAGCGTGCCACACATCCCGGCCTCTGTACATATTTTTGGGTGCTTCAACACTTTGCCGAAACGCCCAGCATCACGGCCCGGCCAACTCCTTGCAACACCTTCTCCGAGCTGCCACCCTGCTCTTCCATCTCATCACCTTGCAGGAAGCGAGGGTAGCGTTCCATCCACTCCTCCCAGAGCAGATTGATTGACAGCCGGTTATGCCTTCTCTTCTCAAAGCAGTCGTACCCCGTCATGATCCACCAGTTGAGAAGCACCGCGCACATCAGATCGGCGGCCTTCTCAGCGCCACCAAACCCCCATCTACACCCTCTCTGCAACCCATACCGCCGCCAGGACTCGGCGACGACGCAAAACTGCAACAGATAGTCCTCCAGCTTCCACGTCTGGGGCCTCCCAGCCAGGTAGTGCGAGAAGCACAGGTGCACATCCAGCGTCTCGCGCTCTTCCTTCTTAATCTTATCTCTTGTGTCCCACCTTCTGCCACCCCTCCTCAAGATTGCCAAATCCCCCAGATACCATCCTACAGCATGCCTCTTCTCCTTGACGTCGCTGGTGCCTCTGTCCAGTCTCACCTCTCCAATCACGGGCGCCCGGACTAGGCGCACCACCGCCGGCATGAGGCCGGTCAGCTTGGCCAGCATGGCAGCCGGCTCGACCTCCTGCACTGTTACCCCACACGTCTTGTGGAATTCCCAGAAGGCACCCCGGATCGGCGGTGATTGGATAAACGAGTCGATATCATCTAGGCTCACGGCGTTTCCTCTTGCGCCGTTTTTTCTTGCATTGTTTCCTCCTGCACCGTTTCCTCCTGCACCGTTTCCTCTTGCACCGTTTCCTCCTGCACCGTTTCCTTTTGCATTGTTTCCTTTTGCATTGTTTCCTCTTGCACTGTTTCTTCTTGCCCTGTTTCCTCTTGCGAGGACTTCCACCATCAACTCGACGAAGATCTCTTCGCGCCAGGCAGTAAACCGGCGAGAGTTGTGATTATACATGCTCATCCTGTCGTAGAAGGTGCACTGCCCACAGTGGGAAACGCCGCATGCCATCCAGGTCACGTCTGGGCGGCCGTCGGCGATTTGCCGTTGGTAGATCCGTTGGTAGTCGCGGCTGCGGTTTCGTAGGGTGCGTAGGGCCAGTCTGGAGTTGTACCAGATCTTGTTTCCACGGGTGGAAGTGAGGTCGTGCCCAGATTGCGCGGCATGCCTTTTCTGGTCGTCATTAGGGGGTTTAGCGCAGGTTGCCCGAGATTTAGACCCTTTAGAAAAGACAGGTGGTCTTGCTTGGGCATTCCGGCGTGGATCACCGCCAAATGGTGCCATCTGGGTGTATGCTGGCATGCAGTCTGGAACTTGGTTGTGGGTGAATCCTGCCAGGGGGATTCCACACAGCGTCCCCAATAATGGAGGTTTGCCAAACCACAACGACATCTAAGCGCTAATGCTGTGTCTCTCCGTCATAGTAACGCGGCCTCATAAATGAGGCTTCTATATTTCTTTTGGCTGGGCAGATGGACTCGATGCGGACTCGAAGGGGTCCCCCTTTTAAACTGCTTGCTGTGCCAAAGCCTGGTGTTGGGCGAACTACAAACACACGCACAAGGCGCGACACAAAACTAGGTGGACAACGTAGGGAAGAAACGCACAGATGAAGAAAGAGTGTTACCATAGAAACTTCCGGCAGTTCTTGCTTCCGCATAGACACTTTGCCATGCTATCAACGTTCTGTGTAGTTTCTTCGTTGTCCTCCGCAACCCCATCCACATAGTCAAAAGTGAGCTCTTCACCCCTGTGAATGTCGCGGATTGCGAATAAAGCCAGGTCGTGGAGGTGTTTGTCCGCATGGTCACCAACTCGCGCAAAGATTCGCATATTGGGGTCACATGAATGGTTAATGAAACGGGTAGGGCCAGACATGAACTCCCCATCCACCTCTAGTGGAGGACCTTGGAGACGGGGATCCAGAGAGTTGGGATCCGTGAATTTGTCCAGTGCAAACAAATAAACGTCCTTTCTTTGTGAGATCGCAGAGTGTTCACGGCGGCGATCTGCTTCGGCGGAAGTGATGACTTCTCCAAGATAGCAGTCAACAAATTGGCCTTCTTTAATTTCTTCGAGACAGCGGACACCTGTAGGACAATTTAATCGTTAACCTTTCGGCCCCCCAGAGCATTTAGGTAAGCCAGAATATGAGGGAAATCAAGACATGATTGGGAAATAAAAAGAAAACAAAGGTGCAACATACCCCAACCACGGTTAATTGTCCGAAAAATCTGTAGTGGGACTGTTCGTCCTCTTTCCACAACGCGATTTGGACAAAGGGCAGAACATGAACAGGCCTGGTGGCACTCGTACAATGGCTGGCTCGAGTCAATCACTCTTGAGCGAAGCAGGCCAGCCTTGGAGCCGCCGGTGTGGTAAGCGTACGCCTTAACGTCCTCATCGTCCTCCTCGAGATCAGCAAGACAATCGCAGGCGCTGTACTGGCATTTGGCGCCGTTATCCCCGCAGGAACAGCCGCTCCGGAAACTATCCTCAGCAGCCTCGACGCCCTGGCCATAGACCATCTTGTCTATAAACCTGAAGTTTTCGGGCAGAACTTCATCGTCAACTTCATTCACCACGGTGATAGGGATATTGGGGTGGGTCTTGAAAGCGCGGATCTGGCACCAGTGACAGTCATTTTTCTCATCCTCAAAGCCCTAGCAAGCGGTATGTTAGACGAGTAGATTCAGACAATATGAGATGTATAACACGAAGCCATTCGACTTACCTCTTTTCCATGGTTGAAAAAATGTTGTCTGGTTGCTTCCTCCATGTGGCTGTGATTGTTTGGTGATGGGCTATGACGGGAGGAAGGAGGGGGCAGGCGCGGCTGAAGTGACACGGGTTCTCTCAATCTCTTTTCTTTGTCTTCTAGTCTTCGGGGGTGTGTATTTCTGTGCGGCTTTGTCTGGGGTTGAAGTTCGTGTTCTGGTTGATTAGTGATATGATTGGATGGCAGGGAAGGTTGAGTTGGTTGACAGGTCTATTGTGAGGACTGTAGGTTAGGCATTTAGGTTGCTACGGCAGTTGCCCCACAGCTTGCTCAGTCTCTATCCACCAAAAAATGTCTGTAAGCCTCCAGCTCAATTCAGCGGTTTTCGAAAATAAACACGCTCGTATCCGTCTTCAATCCTTCGGTCAACTTCATCAAATCCTAATTTCGCATACAGGCCAATGTTCTCCCACATCTTCACATTCGTATAGAGCTCCAGCGCAACTCGGCCTTTGTCGCGGGCGAAGTCCTCGGCGTAGTTCATCAGCAGCCTCCCGTAGCCTTTACCCTGGGATGCAACGTCCACAACCAGGTTGTTAATATCCACCGCATCAGAGTCCGGCCGTGCGAGCAAGACAATGGAACCCTGGGCAGTGGGCGACCCCTCCGGCCGGAGCACGAAGATGTCGTGGGTGTTTAGTAATTTGTTGTAATCTGCCGTCATAGGTGCCGGTTCCTTGCCTATGCGTTCGATGTACTTGGTGTACGCACTTTGGACCATGGCTTTAATGGCAGGCACATCGTCACTTGTTGCCCGCTCGATCGTGGCTGCGGCGCCATTAGCACCCTTGACTTGGGTCTTTGTTGCATCAGTTCCAGCCATTTTGCAGAAGCTCTTGAGATGATCTCTACGACATGCCCAAAAAATGTCATAGAATGCGCTTATTTGTAGTGATCACGGACAAGAGCCGAGTGACGGAGCCGGTTGCTTACTGACCAAACTATTTCCGATGTCCGGAGCCTGGGACCAGCCGTTGCTGTCAGCGTTGCTCCAGTCCCGACTCCCGGTATCCTCTTACTGAGTCATGGAGCATGACTGGAGAATCATACGGCATCGGCAGTCAATCACCGACGAGCTATCTTATCTAGGTAGGTAAATAGGTTGGTGGGCGGTTTGCTCTCCCCAAGGAACCCTTGAAAACCCACCCCGGTTCCGGCGTGATTGGCTAGTCTTGACTTAACCTACCAGATGTTTAGTTTTCATGGTAAACAATGCCCTTGTGCCCGATTGCTACTCTACTATACGTTCCTAAGTCATTAACCCCTGCCTGTGTTTGCAGGTCTGGATACGAATGTGGCTAAAGCTTCGAGTGCTTCTACAACATCAGAATCCATGAATGGCTTCTAAAAATTGCGTCCTACTGGAACCTAATAGCAAGACTTTGGTCACTACCCACTCCCGCATTCAGAGACGGATCCTCGCTGCTTTAAATGTTACCATTTCCGGCTACAAATATGAAAATTTGACAGGACGATTGATATAATACTTCTGGGAGACAGGCAGAGACCGAGCAAGGCAAGAAGAAGAGCGGGGTGATGACATGACCAGCAAGCGCATGCTCAAGATACATGTCCTACATTCTCCACGTTGACCAGAACCCCAGCCCCAATATGCCGAACCAGTGCCCAAACGCCTTCACCTTCAGCTTGCGACCGCCGTACGTCCACACGATGAGGCCGTCTCCAAGCGCAACAAGGCAGAGCGCCTGCGACAAGACGGTCACAGCTTCATTCATGCCCTTGTACTGCAGCACGAGATATGTGATGCCGAAGCAGAGGTCTCGCACCCCCTTGGCATACAGCATGGGCGAGATCCCTTGCTGCCCAGGGAGCAGCTCGAGGGGCAAACCGAACGTCTCGTATGCGGTCCTTGGGAGGAACAGGCCGACTAGGCCTAGGCCCGTGAATGCGGTGCCAAGGGTGTAGCCCGGGATGGGGGAAAAAGTAGCCATGACGGTATTTTTCTTAGAATATATCGATCTTTCCCACAACGTCGAAGGATGTGGGTACGGATGTGGGCTTCTTCTTAATTAGTTGTCTTCTCGAAAGATGGAATTACTAGCATTGGAGATAGGGCGGGATTTGACTGAGGGAAAATAAAACCGGGGTAGGTGTTCATGACCTCAGGGATCTGCTTGCTTATCCCAGCTAAGTGCTACCCAACTCCGTGCCTCTGACCAGCAGAGAGACCCCCGCGGTTGTAGGTTCGCCACGGCAGCAAATCCTGTCAATGGCCGGGCTCACTCACAGCGACTGCACATGGACCAACGGAGCTGGCGAGAGGATCGTAAATGATTTCTGCAATGGGCGCAGGGGTAAATTGCAGACAGAGAACGGCCAGAACCTAGCGGTGGAGCCGTGGAAGCGAGGCCTGCGTCTCTAGAGGCCAGACGCCAGTGACCATTGACTGACGATGCAGTGCATGACGGAGCCATTGATGAGCTTAATCCATGGGGGGAGGGAGGGCACAAATCACAATGCAGCTTTGCCAAGCCGCGTGTCCTGGTCCAGCCTCTGATGCCTCAACCACTGCCACTGCCCAAGAGAATAGCAGAGAAAGGCACAAAGCGGCGCCAGCCACTAGCCGGAACCCCTCTAACCTGAACCATCGCATCCAGGAAGCAACCGGCGAACGAACGAATGAACCACATGTCTGCCCCCCATTGTATTGTCTGGCGCCTCCATACGTAACTTGGCTCCCACCTTGCAGACCCCTGCAGGAAATCCGCTTGTGCCTCTCTTAGTCCTGGCCATCCTTCCCAACTCACCTTTCCTTCGCTTGCTCGTCGCTGCTGCATGTGCCTCCTCTTAATTGAGCCTGGGGAATCCCGTCACCCACAACAGCTCTCTTCCCCGTCTCCTGATCACGCCCTCCGTCGCTGCTTGTCCTGCTCATAGCAGTAAGCAACTGGCCCTCGTCTCGCCTTAGGTCACTTTTGCGCCCAACACAGTGCCGATCGACAGCTTTGACCTTGGCTTTTGCAGAATCGTGTCTCGGCCAGGGTGACGGAACTATCAATACGCTTTGATCCCCTCGGATCAGGTCTGCTGGGGAGAGGAAAGAAAAAAAGAAGGGAAATAAAAGATTGTGGTTTGCCCTTGCGCACGCAGCCAGCCTTGAGCATATCAACAACCATTCGAACACCAAGGCGACGAACAAAGCCATACCGAAGCGACAACTGGGCAGAGACAGCATTGCGATGGCATGATCCACCCGACTGACGAACGCACCTCTTGTTGACCTCTCCATTTCGCTGTGTTTGCCCTCGTTTGCCAAACAGACAGAGCCGTCGCTCTTAGGCACGCTCTCCCCTCCCCTCCACACTCGTTCAGTTCAATTGCCCGGCTTCGCCAGCTAGGCAAGATTCCGAGACAATGGTAAGTTGGGAACCTACTGTTTCACAAAACGCAATTCGCCAAGCCAGCTAGTCAACTGTTATACCACTTGCCCATCAGATACTAAACTTTCGCCATAGGGCTGCTGCATTTCCCGTTCCTCTGGGCCCAACTCGCCTTATCCCGGCGGCGACCCTGCTTCATCCTCCCGAGCCATCAACCCCCCTCCTCTCAGCCTCGGCGAGAGCGTCCTCCAGTCTGCCGCAGGCGGCGGCAGCGCCAGTAATACCAACGCACAGCACCAGCCCACCCGTCGTCGCCGCGAGCAGCGTCCCCTCGATCAGCGAATAAATAAGCCCCTTCGCCGACATGAGTGGACCTCAAAGGGCCGTACGTGGACCAAGGGCCAGCTCGCACATGAACGCCGCGACTTCTTTGATACCAGGGTAACGGGGCGGGCTGAGGTGTGGCAGACGCTACACGCCGCGCTGCAGGTGTTGTGGGATCCGACGCAGGAAGACGACGGCATGGACGGGCTGGGCACGGCGCAGAGCATTCTATCCGCCGCAGAGATCCTGCTACCGACAGGCAACCTCGCAAATGGTGTGTACGACTCTCTAGGCAACTACTACGCACTCCCAGAGTGGATCGTGTGTGACCCTGTGGACGTGCTGGAAGATGGAAAGGGGGACCTCTCCGGGGAAGGAGACGACACCACTGCCGGCGGAGACGACGACGACGACGATGACGATTCCATTACCGGTGAGGGAGAACACAAGAGAGAGAAGGGCAAGGAGATTGTGGACGTTTCCGAGCAGATTACCCTGCGAGCCAGACTTAGCGAGAACGGCCGCGATTACAAGGTTACCGTTGGCAAGACGGAGCATATTCGGAGTGTAGCCAAGAAGATTGCCGAGGAGGCCCAGGTAAGTTGATACACCATGTGCCTAGGCCTCTCTTCCTTTGCCACTTGAATGCTAACCCACTCCTTTAGTTGCCAGCTACCAAGAAGATCCGTATCGCGTATATGGGCAAGATTCTCAAGGAGAGCGGTTCCCTCGAGAACCAAGGCTGGCAAGAAGGGCACATCCTCAACGCTCTTGTCTTCCCCAGGTAATTTCCCGTGGACGTTTTTGCCATATTCCACTGCATCTGATCCTCAATCACCATGACGTCTTGTGTTTGCCCGCAGCTCAAACCCTCAACCCATCATAAGAACAGCCTGCTCCCCACCTTTCGCATCTGATGTTCTAGAAATATAGACATCACTATACCGGTTGGCATTTATAATATCTCTTGTTACTCTGCTTTTACAATGATACCTCCCCTGCCTTGCTTTTCATCCAATTCTACATCTCCTATTTTACTTAACGCACATGCGTGGATTTCTATCTGGGATTGTATCTCCAGCACAGTTCAACCCTGTCTGGGGATCTTAATTTTGCGAGCTTTGGTACTCGTCACCCCTCGGGTTCGGTTTCACGATGTCTTTGCTGTTTACTCGGCCTCCTCGGGCGTTTCATGGTATGGGATGAGCCTCACGTGGCATGAATGGGTGGCGACCGTCTTTTGTTTGTTCTACAGAACTTCTTCACATATGCACAACACACATACTCTTACATACTCCTCCCTTTCCTGCTCCCCTAAATCTATCATCGGGCGTC